CGATTTATTTAATTCATTCATATTTCAAAGAGAAAATAGCTTGGTCAAATAGACCCCAGAGGTGCCTCTCACATATATATATATATATACATATATGAGGCTTTATAGGGATGTAGATAAGTATAAGCAAAGAGAAGATGAGGACTTAGGGTCAGGGTTTTCACTGACGTCAATGAATGTAGCCCAGACAACCTCTTAATTTACGAATTGTTTTCAGGAAGACTTGTTTCCGGAGATTGCCACCAAGAAGAGCTGTTGTTGCGCAAGAGCAAGCAGAGTTGTGCTTGTGGGGAATTGAGGGATGGTTTCAACCTTGTTGGGTACTTAGCAGACCCATACGGTGTCTACATTAGGAAGCTTGCCTAGTGGAAGCTGAGGAAGCCTCCGTTGGGATGCTGCAAATCCCTGAGCTGCAAGCAAGACTGGCCTATCAAAATGGATCAAAACCCTGAACCAAAAAATAAATAGCAATGAAAAGCAGAAGAGCTGCAAATATCAACGGTCATGGAACACTACTGCTCTTGTCAATTTAGGAAGCATCCCCAGTGCGCAATGTCTCATAGCTAGGAACGCATATTCTTTGAAGATGGACCCCTTGTTCGTAAAAAAACCCGCATCGACTGCTATCGGTGTTCTTTCCACCTGTCATCATCGTGGGTTGCTGCCTCTTATTACCAGGACCGCTGCTCTTGATCATGGCGAGCATAGTCGTCAGCTTCAGGAAGCAGAGCTCTGGCAAAGTAAATACATGGGTCAAGCCCCCACCCATAGACAGTCTATAATATGGGTCATATTAAGGGGCTCTATACAACTATATCATACACATGCTATCCAACTGTGAATGGGTGGGGGCAGTATCCAATGAATACCGCTTCACCTTGCTTGTCAAGACTCGTCACAGCGAGATACACTGTCCACGCCTGTGTTCCCTGCGTAAAATGTGAGGCCTCAGCGGTCCAAACGGGCCACATACAATGAAAGCTCAAGCAAACCGAAATTTCTCCCAAGCAGCTTGCAGACAAGAAAAAGCAAGGAACAGAAGAAGGCTTAGGGAACAAACTTAAATTAATTGAGAAGGGTTTGGGGTTTAGGGCTTAAGAATGTATACCACAACATTAGCTTCCTCAGCCCCGGCTGTTCAAGCCTACAAAGGCTGATCCAGATGTGGGCAAGCGTTGGGCAGGCCCTTCAATAAGGGGCAGGCATTTGTCATGACTATCTGGTGCTTTGTAAGGAATGGGGCGAATGAATCCTATAGTAATCCCTACATAATCCATTGGGGAACTTGGAACCATAGCAAAAATTAGAATTTTTGATGTTCCTTAGGATTATAATAAGCAAAAAGTAAAGATTATTTCCAAGTACCTCTAAGAATCCCCAGCTGTAATCTTCATAGTCCGTTTCCCCATTCCCTACTAAGCACCAGGGAGATGAACTTATCTTCTGCCATCCGCAGAATCTGAATCGCATCTAAAAGTTGGGCCCTCTTGTAAACTCCAACTACACAAGAATCCCAAGTACAGGGACCCCACATTCTGTCATCTTCATATTATATGGTAGTTTCCCAAAACGGGGAGGACCCCAACAATAGACTCCAAAATACTATGATCCAAATTATGGGGAACCCCTAAAATGGTACACCTAATTTTGGGAAACCCCCATACATCTCATACAGTAGGAGCCATGTCAACCTCAGCTTGTAAGGCCCCGAAATAAACCTCCGATAGCTCAGCGATATCCCAATTCGTCCGCGCAACTGCCATCAGGACGTCGTGCAAACTCAAAGCGGGGATGCCACTGGTTGAAATAACCTGAGGAAATTCCATGGATTGAAAACGAGCAGCATTGAAAGCTACTTCTACTTGATACACATAAACCCTCAGGCCTCTAGTAACCCTAAGTTTCTTGGGATACGCAGCCGACCCTGATTTTGAGAAATGCCCAGTGAAAGCAAGGTGCCTGTGGTCAGCACGTCAACACAGTGACGCCAGACGTGCGGTCGAGGTGTGCCGATCGACTGCGCCTTGAGGTAGACGAAGCGCCTCTCCTGAGATTCACTGCAGGGCATGAAAGCAAATTATGAATTTCAACATTGTTCTTCATATAATTATTAGCATTATTATTACTATTGGTATGTTGTTACAAACATTTAACCTTCCCTGAAGCTCCCAATAACCTGAAAAATCTGCCGTAAACCGAATAAATCCAAACCATACTGATTTTGTTAACTTGTACATGCAGGTGTCGTTTGCCTTCTCGATAGGCTGGAAGCGGACCTTGTACTCTGCATGCGCGGCTTCCGTGGCGGCATTCTGCTGAGTTCCCCTTCATGGGCATGCGCGCAGAAGCTCCGTTTAAAGCAGCTGCAGAAACATCAAAATTGAGACAGGCATCATCTTTCTTGCTAGCAACGATACCAAAACCCGAAGCGCAAAAGCCAGATGGAGAATGATAAACGTCTTGCAGAATCTAAGCTCATGTAGGGATCATGGAAAAGAAAATGGAAACTACTATAGTATATTGGTGTTATTCAGGGATAGTGGAAAAGAAAATGGAAGCTACTATAGTATATTGGTGTTATTTAGGGATAGTGGAAAAGAACAAATGGAAGCTACTATAGTTTAGTAGTAAAGCTAAGTTTGGTTGACTCTGGCGCCTCACTTCAAAGGTCCCGTTCAAGATGAGGGCATCTGCCGTTAGCCGAGCGCTGCTTTCCTGAGGGCTAAGAGAACCGAGCTCAAATCATTAAAATGCATGGCACAGGAGGAGAAACTTTCAAACTGTGCACTGTCTCAGATCACCAAATCTTGCACTGGAGAAGGACAGCTTTGCAAACAACCTTGGCCCCCACACCTGAACTCATTAGCAGAGGCCCCTGGAAAAGGATAGCGGACCCTGCAATTCACGTCGAGCTTCGCTCTTGCCACCCGCTGCAAACAGCTGCGTGGCCCTGGACGGATCTATCACCTGTGACATCAAGACATCAAGCACAACAAACCTTGCCTCTATGACTTCGAGTAACCTATTCTTAAACAAGCTATGTCTCCTTGCTTACAGCATCGCTGAAGCTGCTGCAATGGTGTGTTAAGGATCCATTCCTCTATTCTCGTTCAACCTAGCTAGGCTGATTACTCCTGCTGCGTGATGAGTTGGAGGTGTTGCAACATAGGGGCCCCCTAGAATTTAGAGGTCCCTCTTAACATCTTCTTTTATATAGGCTTTCTGAGGAGACCTTCCCCAGCTCAGCATTGCCGTTATTGCTGGTGCTGAAGACGTTTGCTTTGGTGCCTCCACTAGTCCTATGTCCTTTTTATCATGCCCCTCTGAGCACTCATACTGGTCCTAAAAATAGCAACTGCTACCACTCCTGTTAATTACTCTCAGAGTGTTTGCTCTTTCTCCCCTTGCGATTACTGCTCTATTAGCGACCATTCTCCAGACAGGCCGCCAGAGGTTCCCCGGCAACTTCTTGCCAGGTCCCATCCATGAACTCGCTCAAGGGAAGTGCATCCAACATATCTTCGGTCCTAGGTGGGGGCTAGGGTTGAAATCAAGGGATTTCAAGGGTTCAACATCTAACCCCACTACATGAGCCATAGTTTAAACTCCCAGTATCCCTCTTAATAACCCTTATAGTAGTCCCTAATATTATCTCCGAAATAACCCCTTGAAAGAGTTTAGACTATAGCTCACACATTACCATCAAACTCTACAAGAGTCTGCCTTCTAGATTGCTGCAGGACCCTCAGAAGAGCCTTCTCATTATGGGCTTGCTGGGGGTTAGTAGGATATAGGATTATATAGGGATCATGTTCCCCCATTCCCTACTAGCCCCCAGTATGTGGGAGGACCCTCGAGGACCAAACGGATTGGGGTTTGCTGAGACATGGAGCAGCTCAGGTGGATCAAATTTCTTAGAGACCTTCCCCTGAAACTGCCCTTACAGGGCCCAAGGAAAGTGGGGATCGGGTCTGCAAAAACAATGGACGAGGGGCAAGTTGTCTGCGGTGGAAAGCACAAAGCGCTCCACCCTAACCTGGCAAGGCATTGAGCGGGCTTTGGGTTTATGAGTTCAAGGCTTAGAGTTACGGGTGCAGGATTTAAAGTCTAGCGGGCCGAGTGAAGCATCTACGGGTTACTGCAGCAAGCAATGTCGCATGCGCGTGGCTTGAGAAATGTTTGAAACGGTGCATTGACTCCAGACTATTCTACCTCAAGATACAGGTAGCGCAAAAGAATACAAATATGTAGACTAGGGATTATATTACCGTATTAACCCCCGTATACACCCTTTATAAGCCCTAGTATGAGCTTCACGACGGCCGGCACAAGCCAAGAACCAACGTTGACTCTGGATCGAGGGCTGGGCCTAGCCCCGAATGCCCAATTTGAGACTCTAGACCCTAGACACTGAAACCCATAAACCCTCAACACTGAAACGCTCCAACCTCGAAACCCTGCCACCCTGAAACCCCTAAACCTCATGGGTTCCACTACCGTCCTAGGTTCTCCCCTTAAGTAAGCTTATTAAAGGATAATTAGGCTTAATTGAGGGTAATTAAGGGGTAACCTAGGGGGGGTTAGTACAGAAGGGAACCCATGAGAACCTCGCAATGCTGACCCAAATGTTGAAGCCCTCACACCCTGAAACCCCCGCTGCCCTACACGCCCCTGAATTCTAAGCCGCTGAGGCCCACGCCTCCCCGTGGCAAGCGCGAAGGTAGAGGCCCCGGGTGTGGTTTCCTGGGTTTCGTCTGGGCTTTCTGGTGGCTAATAGGGCGCAACAGTAATAGCAACAGTAGTAGTAGTCGTCGTCGCAGTAGCA